GGAGTACATTGATACCTATTGAGTGCATATTATTTTTGTAGATTATTTTACATAAAAAAATATTTCTTTTTTTATTTAAAAAATAAATACTTATCTAAGTAGTAAAAAATATTTATTTTGCTTATATATAAGTTCATGATGAACCTTAGATCTATCATACAATTTTCTTTTTGGGAAAAAAGAATTTATAAGAGCAAAACATAAATAATATCCTCAAAAATGAGACCTTAAGCAATTCTTTTAAATTTTGACTAATTAACCTAATCTAAAAAAAATAGTCTAATCTCATACTCATTTTTAATTAATCGCCAAGTTAAATTTTACAAAGTTTGAGAAAATATTAAATGTTAAAATGAGTGATTAAAATTTGACTAAAAGAAATTTAAAAACCACATATCCTTTACTTTATTAGAAAATTAAAGAAATGATACAATTATATTGATACAGACAAAAATGAAAAGTGAAATGATTAATTCGAGACAAAGAGAGTACCATACATATCACATCACCTTCTATTATTATAAATAGGCTTCAGCCCATCTCCTTTGCGCAATCTTCTTTGTGTAGTTTCCTCTGCCCTCCACCATTGTCCTTGTGTGACGATGCTTCTACCACACTCCACTCCATCTCTCTTCCTCTTTGTGCAAACAATCTCTTAATGCCACTCCCTGCTGTTACCGTTGCTTCAAAATTATGCTTGATAAGGCTGAACTAACCGCACAGACTACTGACATGAAACAAGGATCTAAGCTTGATAAAAAGACCGAGATTTCTTATGATGTTTATTTTTTGGGATTCCTATCTTCACCTCGATAACACCACCCCCTAATGGCTTCGTTTGTAGGATTGAACTGTATAATGTCACTTTCCTCGACAAATGTCCTAGAAGATATAAGCTTGATAAGGTCGGGTTTGCTGCGTAGACCCCTGAATGAGAGGATTCAGTCTTCCTTATTATATCAATGGTCATAATGGAGAGATGAAAAACTAAATGTGAACTTTCTACCAGACAAAATATAATTAGTATTTTAGGTTGAGTACTTGTAATTTAACATAAGTTCTTATCTCAATCTATAATATTGTCTCAAACATTGTATTTCATTGAACAATTACTACTTCATCATGTATGGTATCAAAATAAAGGTTCTATGATTCAAAACTCAATATTTGGAAAATATGAGTACATGAGATGTAATTATACTAAAGCTGAAAACAAGTCCATATAATCGCACAAAGTGATAAGATGAGCTCGTTCGAATTTCCTTGGACCCCGTAAGAATTGCTGCCCCTTAAACCTTGCTCTCGGGGGTGCTGCCCGATTGGAACCCCCATTAACATAACTAGAGGCAAAATAATTGAGGGATATTGTGGTCATTACATATTTCTTTTGAGTGTGTAAGAATATAGTTTTAGGACATAGAAAAAAAGAAGTAAGAAAATAATTTTAGGACGAAATAATAAGATTATAAGAATAAATTACTTGAACATGACCAGTTTAGAATTTTTTTAAAAAAGAATTTTTGAAAAATAAAGTTGATAGTGGGAGAGGGACAGAAGCAGAGAAGAAGGGGATGGACTACAATCTGGCCGCGCTGAAGCTCCTATGCTCACACCTCAACACCGCCACCGAGACGAAAACCTCTCACTCTCAGACCGCCTTTTCTCTGTGCGGAATTCTCTTCCAGCGCGCTTGGATTCAGGTTCCTCCTCCTCCTTCTTCTTCTCCTCTCTCTGCGAGTATGTATGTATCATATGCATCATGACTTTCCCCAATCGTGATGCAGGGGGTTTTGGTCTCAACACCGTCCACCTCTGATAACGACGCCGGCCGCTTCCTCCTCGACGACGGCACCGGCGTTATCCAACTTGTGCTCTCCAGCGAGTACCTGCAGAATGATTCCTGGAAATTAGGTATACGCAATAACTCACTTCCCCTCCAATTGAATAGAATTCCCTGTTTTGTCTTTCCTCGTTCATTATCTTCACTTATGTGCGCTTGTAGGTATGTATGTAATGGTTGTAGGAGGATATTCAGTTCGAAAAGATGGCACCCCGTTCATTAAGGTGAGCAATTGAGAAAATAGATTCTTCTTCTTCTTTTTACAAGCTTTTCTTTGTTTTTGCTGTAAATTGGTTGAATTGTCACTTCTAGTTTTGGATTCTAATTTGAATTGCGTGCGTAATGCCGAAATCACAAGCATGCATTTTTTTAATTTTCTAGTGTGTGTGGTTTTGAGGATTCTAATTTGGCAAGAGAACATTTTGTTAGTGATCCAAGGTGAATCTCCTCTTGTGGTTCGTGTTGCCCATCCGAAGTTACGTAGTATTTGGGATAAGGCTTAGTTGAAAATCTCTTGGGGTGGTGAAATTTTGATGGTTTTGGGGTAGAAATGTGAAATCTCTTCATGTTCCAGGAAGTACTTGTAAGGCTGAAATGATTTTTAGTAGCAGAATTGGTAGTGATTAAAGTTCAAACATCTAATGAGGTGGTTCATCATTATGATTTTGGGAGATAATTTGCTTCGCTGAGTAAGCCGATTCTCTAAACTATAGACAGCATTGAATTGATGATATATCATAAGTAAATTAGAGAAGGAATTTTTCCTTCTGAACACAAGTTATGGCAGAAGATTACACTTGACAATTGGCATCAAAAGTGTCATGAGTGATTGGGTGGGACATGAGTGAAAGCGTGGAGCATCAACTCTCTGCAAGCTGCCTCTTGTAGCAAGATTACGATTATTTCAACAACAAAAAAGTTTTCTTTTTTTAAACACTGCCGTTGCTATCTTCCTCTAAAATGTAGAGGCAGCAAAAAAAAAGCCCCATATAAGCACCTTACAATCATCTTACACACCAGAGAAGCAAATATACTACCAAAACTAAAAACATGGTATAGCAACCAAAAAGAGATATTGTCTTGACAATTCTCATTTTCTACTATGCAGTGTCAAACACTTGGAAAGTACTAACTCTCTTCAACTACTCCCTCCTTTCGTATTTATTGTCCATCTTCTTTTTGAGACGTCCAGAGTTAAGTAGTCACTTACCTTGCCCGGTGAACACATGATGGGAAATTTTCTTTGAGTAAATTAAGCTTGTAACCAACAATGGAGTAGAAGCTAATTACAGAGGTTTTTCTTGTCGATCCAAGTAATCCAACTAATTTTATAAATTAGAGAAAAATGGACAACTAAACCTAAGTATGATATGTAGTCTCTTTTAGTGTTTGTGTGTGTGTAAATGCTTATAGTGATTGTCTACACATCAAAATGACTTTCTTTTAGAATGCCGTTATCATATCTTTACATAAATGGGCAAAATACAATCCACAGCTTAGCATTTGGAGGACCTGGACAATGTTTAGTCTATTTACCGCTTCACATTGCTGTTTAGCTTACTGTGGCTAAACTAATGAAACGTCTAATTTCGATGCAAGTATTCTTGTTAGGACCTACTCGGCACATCATGGTGCAAATGTATTAGGGTGGTATATGCTCACAGGCAGTATTTATTTTGACTAAGTTGCTTATTAATCATAACAGTGTGGCATGCTATTAGCTTAAGGGTGGTTTTCTTTTCCAGGTGCACAAAATTGTTGACCTTTCACCGGTTCCGGATCGAGAGGCGATGTGGTATTTAGAAGTTGTGGAGGCATTCAAACTTTTCTATCAGCCCCTTTTAGACTATAATTCTGAATGAATGTGTCACTTCTGGTTAGTTGAGGACCAATATGTAATTATTTTGCTTCTGCACTCAACGCTTTAATTATTCTTTGTTGAGATGGTTCTTATTGCTTGATTCATAGGATCTCTTTTCATGCTTAGGCAAGGTAAGATTATTTTTTTTCGGTTTCATTTTAAGGGATTTGCAAGATTCCAGTATCCAAACTGGAGACTTGGTATTCAAAGACTTGGAAAATGTCTCTTTTTCTCAGTTTATGACCTCATTGGGCACAGGAATGGCCAAGCCATCACCTGTTGAGCCAATTCAAAGTGACCAAATTGAGTTTGAACTAAAGCACAAGTTTTTCTAGAATGAAATTACCCAATGGTGAAACTTGATACGAACGAGAATACAGTCACAATATTATTATTATTATTATTATTATTATTAATCTGTCTTGAACATGATTGTTAAGGTTGTTTACCAATGTAACATGGTTCATAATCTAGCGACCAAAGATTTCACAAACCTGGGATGATATGATAAAATTTGGTAAACCTTGAGTATTAGGTGCAAGTTCCAATCTCTGTCACTAATTTGAGATAAAAATCTAATTGGCTTCCCCTTTTTGGTTATCGTTCAGTATTCAAGTGGCAAAATGTAATCTGAAAGGTAATAATTGATTCGAAAGAGACAATCAAATGAATCAATGGGATTAGGATTTACCAAATGGAGTATCAATATTAAAATAAGTAATAGACTAATAGTGTAATACATAGTAGATGATAAGAATTAAGAAGTGATTCTCTTCTTTTTTTCACTGAAATGGAAGGAAAACTGTGTTCCTTCTCTTTAGTTCTTTCCTTCTTACATTTACATTTTCTCTACTTTTCTTTTCCTTCTAGCTAAACAAAAAAAACTATTTTCCTTCTTATTTTTTCTATTTTTCCCTTTTAAATTCCTTGTACCATAGTGTAAGATTCCAAACTAAAAGAAAACTATAAAAAAGATTATCTAGCCACTATAGACCAAAACAACTATAATTGTCGTTAAACTGGAGTGAAGTAGGAAAGTGAAAATTGAAAGAGGGTGATGTATTTTTTAATGAGCTAGGGTTTCTCAGTATTAATCTAGGTTTCTACTCTTTACTATTTACACTAGTTATGCCATAGACGAAGCAAATTAATTAATGGCTTCATTTGAAAACAATATTTGTGATTAGAATTCACGTTTGGATAGTTTTTCAAAAGATACATATTAACAATTAAAACATTAATGCTAAAAGCAATCGTTGGATAACATTTTCAAAATGCTAAAATTAATGCCAAACGGAGCCAATACACATGTCCAAGCCCAATAGAATCAAAGAACTATGATACAATCATGATAAAGGTCCAAAGCATAAGCCTTGTTTAAGTCTAGAACGCGCAAGCCTCGAGATACCAACATGAGGCTTAAACCAACCATCTTTAAGCCTCACTGCCTTGAAGTGGACCACCTCAATTGCATTTGAAAACCATGGAAGGGATAGAAGGGATAAAACTTTCTCATACAGTCCAAGGATGATTGCAAGCCATTTAAAGGATATGAGTCTTCTTCTAAGTAGTCTTAACGACACATCTCTGGGATGTCATGTTTCAAGACTATAACTCTGACAGCAATTTCCCCACCCATCCGTGCACGCACATGGTTTAGTCTCACTTGATATATTGTTCACAACAGCACAGCAACTTGTGAGCATCTTCTTTGTTCACATGGTATTTCCCCATGGCAGCAGACTCCTTTATTCTGTCCTCTACACTCACCCATTGATTTAAAATCTGAACAATCGAGTTGAGCTACTATGTAGTTAAGGCGAACATACTGAAGTAAAAACAGAAAATTCTAAAACAGAACCCGGTAAGAGTAGAAATTATATGCCAGATGTTTGTTAGTTCCAAAACAATTTTTGGTACATTGAACCTGTTGTAAAGGATACAGCTGCATTTCTAGCAACTAATCTTGAAAGGGTAGCAGTGCTCCCATGTTCTTCGGGGGAGTGATCATCGAGAAGTTCTTCCTCAATCACTTCTGACTCACTTGTGATAACTGAGGCATATTGGTGTAGCTGCAGAGGGCTCAGTTCAAGTTTTAACACTTGAACCAGAAATCTTGCAATGATGCTCCAAAGAGCACTCTTTGCTTCTGCATCCGCTGAGGCAAAAGGGAATATCCTAAATAGACCCTGCAAGAACAAAAGGTCTAAAGGATCTGTGTGTTACCACAGACTGATTCCCAGAAAATGCAAAAATGGTCATAAACTGTTTTTTAGCAGCAAATCATCACACCTTGTGATATTTCTAGAGTTAGATCAGCTGCATCTGTTAGAATATTTGCTATCAAAACAGCTGCAGTAACACAAGAATCAGCAACCTGCAGTAGATGTCTCATTAAAAGCTGATCATATGAGCTTTGATAACTTGCTTTTGTGTATTATCATATTTTATGGGGAAAAAATCAAAGAAAAGAATTGTCCTTGGAGACATGGTCATACATACACCGTGTGAAAGGGCTGTGTGTGAAGGTTAGAGGCTGGCCTGAAAGTCCACACAGCCCATGCACATGCCCATTGGCTACGTGGAAAGCACTGAAGAGAAAACATACAGGCCGTGTGCAGCACAAGATAAATTATAAGTAGCTCTGCACGGCTCTGCACATGCTGTGTGCAGGCCGTGTGCGGGTCTCCAACCCTAGTTTGAGATTTTAACATTTTCCCAATGTCAAAGAACCAACTCAACCAAATGTTCAAGGGAGATCTATTTTTGTCCAACCTGGCATGTGAACATTAATTTTTTTATAACTGGGTGGCGGTAAGTTTCAAATTCATGATCTCTTAGTCAACAAGGTTTTGATACCATGTGAGATTCTAAGTTAACCAGCTACATCAAAAGCTCAAGCGTGTGGTTACAGGCCCGGTGATACTCCAGATATAACTCCTTTTTAGATATCTTTCACCGCCTAGGAGGCTATGAAGAATGCACCAATCTTGGAGGATCTCTTTCAAGTATTTTGTTTAATTCAATTCATGTTTCTTTTGTTTAATTCATTCTTCATTTCTATTAGGAGTAGCCAGTATATCCCTTGAATGGTAGATGTGGCTAATCTCATGATGTAGGGTTTTGATCTTAGCCTTAGGTTTTTTACATGATCTTGTCTAGTTGTCTATGATTATGTCTGAATGATTTAATTGCATCATTTATTAATTTATGCAGCTACTAGATTATAATCGTTTGTAGAGAATTCTTTAGAGATCTATAGAACTCGACACCCTCACACACACCTTTCACGCACTAGAGATTCTCAGGAAAGGGAACACAATATACTCATTCCGAATGGTTCGATGCGCTAAGAGGCAGTATTGTGGCAAAACCTTGTCCCCTACATTGACAGATTGAATAATATACTTCAATCGTAGTCATCATGTATGAACCCTAATCAATATCTCAATCGGAAAAAGCCCCAGAAGGCTGGAAGGCTGGAACTGATCCTGACTCCCTCTCTTCATTATTATGGTCACCGTTTAATTATTCAATCAATTTGTAGCTTACTAGTTTTAGTATAATTCATTATCGCCATGCTTTTTATTTTATTCTTTTCTATATTACCAAAATCCTTTGAACTCAAGCACTCGAATTTCCTTCCGACTATCCCAGAGGATAAGATACTCAGTCCCCTATACTAAATCGTTTAGATGCGTGTTTTGGAGAGATCAACATCTCACCCTCCCTAGACCCTACTTGCACTTCCAAGTCGGATATACAAGGTATGTTAGGCTTTGGCTGGTTTAGTCAGCATCATTTCTATTTTTCATGCTCACCTTCTATTTTGCATTTCTTTAATAGCTATGGGGAAAAGTACTATGGTTACATCACTAAGAAAATTTGTGAAAAGCTACTACATACCTCAATTTTTTCAGGCAGTTTGATTAGGTTGGTAAGTAGTACAAAAAGTTCTTTATCTGCGCATATTTCTTGTGAAGATTCATCCATGACAGAAAGAGCCTCAATGGTCTGAAGTACCAAATCAAGAATATAGTACCTGCACAAAGTATTAATGGATCAATAATACCCAATATTGATTTGGTATAAAGGACACCTTTATAGTACTAGACTGGACCGAGCCTGTACATATTGGGTATATATGTTGGGTATTTTTTGACAACCATTGCAGCATCAGGGACATCTTTTTGAACTAACATTCGATTGTTTTGAGAGAACACCCGATTGTCTTGAGAGAACAATCGATTGTCTAGGCCAAAATTCTGCAACAGGTAGTGCTTGATTGATTGATTTCTACCATATAGACACTCCAACAGCTCCAATGATTTTTAGCTATAAAAATGGGTCTTTACACACTCTTGAGTGAAGCTATATTGTGAAGAAAAAAAGAACACCACATCGATTTTGGTGTTTCCCACCGGGTTTAAAAGGAAATGGGTCTTTACACTCAGTTTTCATTGCCTATCTTTTTTCCCATTGTTTTGCTTTACTCCAAGTGTTAAACGATTTCAAATGCTTTTGTTGAGCCAAAGTCATTTAAAATGAGGACCTATTTACTGTGCATTCATAATTCAACTGATCGACTTTGGGAGGCAAGTTACTTATAGTTGTTTGTTTTTAAAAAAATAATTGAGAACCTCTTGGAGTAGTTGAAGGTGTGGTATCCGTCCACGGGTTTTTACTCTTGGCGTAGCATACTGGCATACCTGCCTAGCTTGTGTGATTCAAGTTATCGTTTAAAATGGTTTGTCAAGCACCTGTAAGCTTAATAGGTAGTGGAATCCCAAGTGACTCATTCAGGCACAGGACTAGCCCCAACTTGTGGGGATCCAGGATAAATTTTGTGCTCTTTGCTCATTACTTTCTGCACATAATTTTAAACTTTTGCATCTTTACTCATTGAAAATTCAACAAGAACTCAGATCATCAAGAAATCAAACCATTATTGTCTAAATCCCAACTAAGTTGGGGCAGGTGGCATGGAAGTTAGTGTCAACCAATTATCTAAAACTAGTTCAGCCTACAATTCACGAAAAGAAATAGTGTGGCTAAATGTTAAGTAGGATTTCCTTCCTATCGCAACCTTTTAGAGAATTAATGAGAGGAAAAATACAAAATCATCAGTCTTAAGTTCTTTCACTTGCATAGACAATATAATAATACATATGAGTGGAGACTTGAGAGAGTAACTATAGTCATGTTTCGATGCACATCATGAAGCATCACTGGTTTCTAAAACATGCAATACTATAAAAAATAATTTTTTTGAGAGTGAAAAACCTAAATGTTAAAATGAAAAACCCCCATTTACCTTTCAGGTAATCGCTCTTCCCTTAGTTTGCACATCTCAAAGGAAAAGAGGTCAACCAAAAGACGCAGGAGACCCAACTTCATTAATGGTGGTTGAAGAATCACAGCGACTTCCTTACTTTGCAATGCTGCTAGGAGCAAACCAATACTCTGTTTAATTGTGGAAAATTAAATGACACAAAGATAAAACGAGCTGACTTGTCAAGACTTATGGAAGTGAAAAATGCAAAGCATTCTAGCGTGTCCGTATAAGTTTTCTAAATTAGTAAACAGCCACATAAAATTTTACTTTTTACTCTCTTGAGATTTTGGTGTTCATGGAGATAAATAGGAAGCACAATTAAGAGTGGAGAGCCAGTAGTAACCAATCCTACAAATCCAACGCTCCAGAAAGAGCACAAGAGCGACGGACAAACCCGCACTGCACATCCAAGAATAAACAAAACAACAAAAAAAATGCTCCATACATATTCTAGATTCTAAGGTCCCTTTTCCAGATCATTTACCCAAAATGAGCCCAAAAATTGAGAAAGAAAACAATCTCCAAATCCAATTGATGGAAACCAAAACTAATAAAAAGTTCGAGAGCCAAATAAAACAAATGTCCTCTAGCAGCAAAAGAGCCAATCCTCACAAGCTGTATCACTAAAACAACAAAGGGGTAGTCAAGAATAATGCATCCATACTACCCATTGTGAAATTAGAATGGGAAAAACAGCATTACTCTAGATAGTTAATGATAAAGAATACAAGAACACACACAGGCTGGAAACTTTTTGCAACTGCTACTGTTGGGTGGTGCATTGAGAGGGTAACAACAGTAGTCCTCTTAGAGCCCGGCATCGCGTCGTAATGAGATGCCAAGCTACGTGGGGGTAGTGAATTTTAAAGTAGACCGCTGGAGTTGCGCCAGGAGAAAACACTGTAGGGCTCACACTGACTAAGAAGGAGAGTTCATGTCTGACTTTTTATATAATCCTTATCAGGAAATTGCTCTGATGCAAAATTAGCGGGAATAAAATTTCTCTTTCTCTTGATTATAAATGATGAAATTTAAGGAAATAGATAAACAAAAAAACCATCGTGAAGACATCACGGATGCTCCTAAACCTATCTTTATAACACATTACTCAACAAAAAACAACAAACCCAATAAAATCTCACAAAATGAGGTCTGAGGAGGATGAGTGTAAGTGGACCTTATCCCTTCCTGTGGAATAAAGTGGTTTTGTCCAAGAGATCCAATTCAAAAGACAAAAGAACCCAAATTAAAATAAATGGAACAGACAAAAGAAAAGAAAAGGTACAAAAAGGAAAAGAGCACACAACAGAATCGGCCAGCAAGTCCTACACAAGGGTAGACCACACCCCTAAAGCCTACTCAACCGCCCTAATCCTTGACCTCAAGCGGGCACACCATCGGTTAGTTTTTGAAGCCGTAAATCGTGTCTAATTACCTCACTCCAAATCTCCTTAGGTTTACATCTACCCCTCTCAATGTCCCCTACTTCAAGCCTCTCGCATCTCGTGACTGATGCATCAATACTCCTCTTCAACATGTGCCCAATTTTTTTAGCCTAGCTTCACGCAACTGATCCTCCACACCATGTTCCCAATTTATCCTTAGGCCTACCTCTACCCCTCGAATAATTTCGTTCCAGACCCTATCCATCCTGGTACGACTACATGTCCATCTCAACTCATCATCTCTACCACTCGGAGGTTCTGAACAAGAGTATTCTTCACCGTCCAGCACTCCCCCAATACAACAGTCGATTTAGTCGCTACCTTCTGTTGATATCTTCTAGTTGCATAAGACACCTAAATCGAGCTTCCACTTCATCCAGGCTGCTCCAATACGACAAACAACATCAACATGATCTCCCCATCAGCCTCAAAGATGGAACTGAGGAATTGAATCATATCCCTCTTAGGTAGAGGTAGCATGCCTATCTTCACTTCCACTTTAGGCTCTTTCTTTTAAAACTGCACTCCATATGCTCAATCTTAATCTTTCTCAGTCGGAAACCTTTAAACTGGAGGTCTCTCTCCACACCTCCAATCTATCATTGAGTCTCTCACGAGTCTCGTCAATTGGAACAATGTCATCCACAAAAAGCATCCATCATGGTACCTCCCCTGGGATATGTTTTGTCAGAACATCCATCACTAAGACAACAAGATCATCGTGCTCGCCCTAGATTCTCACGGCATCTTTGTCGTCTTAAAAAAACATTAAACAATTAGGTTATCCACACCATGCCGTCTCTGCAAACAATCTTCCAAAACTCCACTGGTATCTCATCCGGTCCCATCGCTCCTCTCCCCCTCATCCTAATAATGGCTTTCATCACCTCTTCCTTTTTGATGAACCTACAATACCCAAAATCTTGATGGCTCTCAGATTGCCCCAACTCAAATAACAAAAGACTCATGTCCCCTATTCGCCTCTGCCATCAAAATCATTCCATCATCATCTTTCACGCATCTCACATGGTCCAAACCCCGAGTAGTCCTTTCTCACACTTTAGCCAACAGAAGTCATCTCTCCTTCCCTCCTCTCTCTTCTTCATCACTACAGATCCATTATATGTTGCATTCTTTGAAGTCAAAACCACCAACTTAGCTTCTTTCTATGCAATCTTGTACCCATGTAGGTATATCCGTTTATCCTTCTTATTACTACTCTCCATGAGCCTTTTGTACGCTGCTTCCTCAGCCTCAACTTTTCAATCAACAAAATCTTTCCACCACTAATCCCCTAAAAAATGGTTTGCATTACCCTCAGTGATTCCTAACACCTCCCGAGCAGCTTTTCTCATGTAGTTAGCAGTTGTAGACCACATGACAGTACCTACCTCTTCCTCTTCCCCCCGATCGAGGCTTTGATCACCAATAGTTTATGTTAAGGCCCTCACTCAGTATGACTTTAAAGTCATTGCAAAGCACCCTGTCCCACCAAAGTAAGCAATCAATTTGCGACTTCACCACCCGACTCCAAAAAGTCACCAAATGCATTTCTCGCTTTTGAAAGAGAGAATCGGTGATCACCAAG